TTTTTTTTTCTATTTTTAATTAACTTTTTATTCTTTATTCAAAATCCCCCCATATCTAATTTGGCATAATTTCTTTTATTAAAAAATCCCACGGTTTCTGTTAGTTGGGTCATATTCCACTTCAAACTGCTCAGTTTGCCTAAGAAAAATCCGTTTTTCCCCCTTTTTCAAACGGTTCCCTAGGTGCCTGTGCGAGGAGTCCAAGGGAGGGGTTCCCCTTTTTAGAAAGCGGCGACTGTCTCCTTTCTATTGGGGGGTGTTTTGGGGGCCCCGCCCCTCCCCCTCCGCCCCCCCACCCAAAAAACGGTGTGAGTGGTACTAAACATTTCCCCAAAATATGTTGAAATACATACCATCAACCACCCCTCTTCTCCGGCACGGAAAACAGAATTCTGCTCAGTTAAGATTATAATCCCTAAGCGCGCCCACGCCCGATTACGCAATTAAAATTTTAACACCTAATAGCTTTTTAAATATAAGCCTATGAAGAGAGCAGTGAATTTATGAACGCCACCTCCACCCTTCAATCCATTTGCACAGTTTGGGCTATTTTTATTACCTCCCTTTTATTAGCTCGGGATATAACTATGTAATATTGATGCGCCTAAAAGATGCAGCGATTTCTATTCTCAAGTTACATACCTGATGACAGTACGAATGGAAATTTTAATAGCGAGGTTTTAGTTTTATAAACTATAATTTTATCTTGTTCTTTAATGTATTTATTTAATGTTTATAATTTTTTATAAAAGTCTAGCACATTACATAACCAGTACCAAATACATAGATCCACATTTCAAACCTCGTACAAAAATTATAAAAATATAACAAACTTTAACCATTGCACACAAAAAATTATAACTTTTTATTCATTTTTTATTGTGCACTTTCTTCCATATAAAGTATGTTCGACAATTTCTTTTATATAGAAGAAAATTCCTAGTACAGCCAGCAAAAAAAAAATTAAAAATCAACGTGATTTTCTAGCGTCTTGATATTTGCACTTTAATTTATTAAACTTTAAAAAGGTTAAAATATTTGTTTGCTAATGTTTGTTGAATTTTTATCTATATGGAGGTGGTTATGTAATGTGCTAAACATTCTGAAACCATCGTAGTCCGATTTTCGTAAAATGTACGAAAATACGATCACTGAATCTGAATTTCTACGAACATAAGGCACTCAAAGTGTATGCTTCGTTCGTAGCTATTCGGATTCAGTGATAACATCTTCGTAGATTTCACGAAAATTCGGACTATTACGGATTCAGTGATAGGCCTGATTAAATAAACAAAAGAAAAATAGCCAAAACTGGCCAAAATGTCACTTAACTTAATCAGCTGATCACAAGGGTAACCTTGCAGGTTATGATCCTGAAGCGCGGCCGGAGGCCGCCTACGCCGAAAGATTAAAGTCAGGGCCTTCATCTACTCAAAACAAACGAAAACGTAAGTAAAAATTTCATGCCATGGGTAGTGGGAGGCGCTACACCCCCTTCGCCCGCCACCCCTTTTACCATCGCATATATAGGAAAGTTTCCCCAATGATAACTTATTGTTGTAATACTTTTTTTTTAAATACGTAAACCAATTTTTAGGATCCTCGCGTATTAGATAGTATGTTGCCTTACCTGACGAATTACTATGGGAATCCACACTCACGTACTCATGCCTACGGTTGGGAATCTGAGAAAGCAGTCGAAAAGGCAAGAGAACAGGTTGCGCGGTTAATTAATGCAGAGCCAAAAGAGATCATTTTCACATCGGGTGCTACAGAATCTAATAATATTGCCGTTAAGGGCGTTGCCAGGTTTTTATCTATATTTTGAGTATTATTACATCAACGTTCTAAATGTCCACTCCGATTATTTAAAAGATTTTACGCGAGTAAAAGAAAACATATAATTACAACGCAGACAGAACACAAATGCGTGCTGGACTCTTGCCGCGCTTTGGAAAATGAAGGATTCAAAGTTACTTACTTACCGGTTAAATCAAATGGTATCATTGATATGAAGCTATTGGAAGAATCTATAACACCATATACGTCGCTAGTTTCAATAATGACAGTAAACAATGAAATCGGTATGACTTACATTATATACCATACGATTTCCGGCTATACAATTTCAATTACTGACTAATTTTTCCAGGCGTTAAACAGCCGGTGGCTGATATTGGTGCACTTTGCCGTTCACGGAAAGTATTTTTCCACACGGATGCTGCCCAGGCTGTAGGTAAAATTCTTATCGATGTGAATGCAATGAATATTGATTTGATGTCCATATCTGGACATAAGATTTATGGCCCAAAGGGCATTGGAGCACTTTATGTGCGTCGAAGGCCACGAGTTCGGCTTGAACCTATACAAAGCGGTGGAGGGCAAGAGCGTGGCCTACGTAGTGGAACTGTACCCGCACCGCTAGTTGTTGGATTTGGTTTTGCTTGCGATATAGCTTTAAAGGAAATGGATTACGATAAAAAATGGATAGATTTTCTTTCAAAACGATTATACGACCGCATCACTAGCGCTTTGCCTCATGTCATCCGTAACGGTGATCCTGAGCAAACTTATAGCGGTTGTTTAAATTTGTCTTTCGCCTACGTTGAGGGCGAATCGTTATTGATGGCTTTGAAAGATGTTGCTTTGTCAAGTGGTTCAGCATGTACTTCAGCGTCATTGGAGCCTTCATATGTGTTGCGCGCAATCGGTACCGATGAAGACTTAGCACACAGTTCGATAAGGTGAGAAAAAATATGAATATGTATGTATACTAATATCTTCTTCTTTATTGGCTTTGTAACCGCCTAAGCGATTTTGGCTGAGTCCACAATAGCACGCCAGTTGTTTCTCTTCAGTGCCAACTGACGTCAGTTGGAAATGTCAAGTGAAGCCAAGTCCTTCTCCACCTGGTCTTTCAACGCAGAGGAGGCCTTCCTTTTCCTCAGTTACAGAGCTTAATAGTTTCTGTCCACTCAAATTACATGACCTAGCCAGTGTTGCTGCTGAATTTTAATTTGGTTCACTATGACTAAATCGTTATAAAGCTAATACAACTCATCATTAAATCGTCTGCTATATTGTCCACTGCCAACGCGCAAGGGCCCATAAATCTTTCGCAGAATCTTTCTCTCGAACCCTCGAAGAGCCGCTTTATCAGATGTTTTCATTGTCCATGCCTCCGTGCCATACACCAGCACGGGGATGATTAGTGACTTATACAGTGTAATTTTTGTACGACTAGAGAGGACTATACTTCTCAATTGTATACTCAGCCCAAAGTAGCACTTGTTGGCAAGAGTGATTCTCCGTTGGATTTCAAGGCTGACATTATTATTGGTGTTAATGCTGGTTCCCAAATAAACGAAGCCGTCTACTTTTCCAACTTGTAACTGTGAATAGTGACGTAGGTACCAAGACGCTTTTGCTCTGACTTCTTGTGTGATGACAAGAGATATTTTATTTTGTCCTCGTTCACCACTAGACCCATTTGCTTTGCTTGTCTATCTAATTCCGAGAAGGCACAAAAGACATAGCCCTTGTTAATATCTACCGCCCTTTAAATGACGTACATATGTACTGTGTATAAAATTTAGTGTGTAATTTAGATACAGCATTTAAATTTTCCAAAAAGATTTGGGGGATGTTGCCGAAGCGGCAGACCTTGGCAAGATACATACATACATGTGTGCATTAGAAATGTAAATCCCGGTATCCCGGGATTTTCGGGATTTCTGATTTGCACTGATGGCAATAATAGAAATTCCTTTTCTATATATATATTTCTATATTGCTATAACCGGTCAAAGGTCGGATCTTTGAAAAATTAAAAACTTGATATTTCAGAAAATTTTGAACTGATTTTTAAAAGATTCGTATCGTTGTAAAGGTGATTTAACCCCCTTTCTTGTGATATTCATATTTGTATACTTCGTATATAAAAATTTGAGAAAAAACGCATTTAAAAGAAAAAGTACCTTTTTTTGTATAAAAAAAATATTTTAAACAATAAATTACTAACCGCTTTTTTAAACAAATCATATCGTTATAAAGGCGATTAAACCCCTTTCTTCTGATACGCATATTGGTATACTTCGTGAATAAAAATTTGAGAAAAAAATACTTAAAAGGAAAAAATACAAATTTTTTCTTATAAAAAAAAAATTTACAAAAAAATTACTAATTAGTAATACAGTTGAATACCTTATTTAAATAAACCAAATGAGTAGTAGTGTTTTAGAAGTCTAAAGCATATAAAAATATAAAAACACCATGGTTTTTGATTTTTTACTTAACGGGTTATATATAAAAATAAATAATATAAAAAAAACTTTTTAATATACAACGCTTTTATAAATGAACTAAAAAGTAGAAAATAATACTTCTCAGTCCCATAGAATTTGTTTTGATAACTTTTGATTTTGAAATTTTAGCAAAAGTCATTATAAACAATCTATGAAATTGAAAATGAAAAACGTGGAGCGCATGC